CCCTCCCGCTCCCCGTGCCAGGGGACAGCGAGCGCCGGCCAGCCGCCTGCCGGCCTTGGGCTGGGATCCAGGCTTTAAATCCCATGGGAACCTTGGGCTGATGCAAAAGCAGCCCGGCGGCTGTGGGGCCTGGCCAAGCTTTGTGGCGGGGAGCAAGGAGCGCACCACGGTGCGGGGGGGCCTGGGCGACCTTCAGCCCGGGGCGGGCTGCTCTGGCCGGTGAGAGGCTCCCTGGGGATGGCTGCCGTCCCGACGGAGCAGACCTTGCCTGGGCCAGTGCCTCGGGTCTCACTGCGGGCACCAGCGCTGCCCCGCGTGCTCCTGCAGGCCCCCGCAGTGACCTGGGAGCTGGCTTCTCCAGCTTGCGCCAGCGCCTCAAGGCCAGCACCGTCCCCTGCCCTGCTGCTGCCCTCGGGGCAGGGTGGGGAAGGGGACCTGTGATTTACAGGGGTGACATGTGTTTTACTTAAAACAAGTCAAACAAAAGCCTGGTTTGTTTTGCGCAGCGCAGACTTCCTGATGGGGTCAGCCCAGACAAATGACTCTGCTCCATTTCATTAAACATTTGTGGCCGGCCACGCCATCAGCTGGTGTTTGGGACAGTGTTCCCAGCTGAGGCGGGGTGCGCCGGGAAGCCTCGCAGCTGGGAAGTGCTGGGCGCCTCTCCCCATCCCCAGTGCCTTTGCAGGACGAGTAATTCCTGCAAGGACAGTGAGCAGCATGATCATGGCATGGCTCTGCACTGCCCAGTGTAGCAATGAGTACTCCTCACTTTCTCTCTGCCCTGGGGTGCTGTTTTTCTCGAATGGAGCCTGCTCCCAGCTCCTGCAGGGTCGTCATGTACACGGGGGCAGTAGCTCCGTAAGAGCCTTGGGTGAAGTCCTCAGAGCCTCATCCCAGGGCTCAGCCTGCCTCTTGCAGCGGGGAGGATGGTGGGGCAGAGCACTCGCATGCAGGCTCAGAGGTGCTTGGGCTCCTTCTGACCTTGGGGCCCAAGCACACCCTTGTGGGAGACACTTGTGGGGGTTACTTAGGGGAGCTGCCCCTGCCCATGGCGTTTCCCAGGGTGCCGGCTCTCCCTGCAACAGTGCTCGGGGGTCTGTGCCCCAGCACTTGCCTGCACCATGTTCCTAAGGGTTTTGGGCCAGGGCTGGAGGAGGAGGCAGCTCAGGGCAGAGTGCTGTTCCCGAAGGACAGCCGCAGAGGTGGGACTACCTGTAATCTTTAATGATTGGGAAGCTCTTTCCAGCCTGGATTTATTGCCAGCAAAGCCAGCTCAGCACAACTGTTGGGACATTAGCTCTTAACTGCCTGGGGAGATAAGAGCCCCAGGCTGCGCCTTGGGGCCAGAAGAGAGCAAGCACCCATGGCGCAGCACAGCCAGCGCCTCTCCCCATCCCTCCAGCACGGCCTCCGCTGGGCCTGGGCCTGTGCCCCCACGCAGGGACTGTGCCACCCTGGGGTGTCAGCTGTGCTG